CCAGGTTGAGAACCATAGATATGGGGTACATAGAAGCGGAACCAATAAATTGGCAAAAAGATATTATTAATCCGAATACAGGAAAAAGAGGCTAAAACAGCACCTGGACATGGATGGCTGGTGCCTCTATAAATAAATCATTGATGGTCTGGTCTGGTAAGCAATGTTTGTCGTGAAAAACCGAAGTTGCCTGTCCTAGTGATCAAGTAAATGATGATGATGATAATAATAATAATAATGATAATACTACTACTATCAGCTGTCTTGTTGGTAGGCTGGATTATACTGTCTTTTATGCGCGTTTGTCTTTTTAACGAAATAGCTGTGGGATTTTTTTTTTCTCTAGTTGAGTTTATTTGACAAAATTGGCAAAACTAGCCCTCTGGAAAGAAGATAATCATTTACGGTAATTGTTACTGAGAGAAGGTTTATGCTTGTGCTTTTGTCTATAGAGTGGATTTGTCCATAATCTAATTTGATCATTTCTGTTTCCCCCTTTGAGTTCATTTAGTTTCCCGTTTTGTCCTTTGTGCTTTTTTTCGGTGTTTCTTTCATAGTTGTGATACTTTTCAGCACGAAGGCCAAACTTACAAAAACAGCATTTCCCCTTTTTTTAAATCTCATGGAGAAATGTGATTTACAATGTTTTACATTACGTACTTGGATACATTCTCACAATAACTCATTTATGCCACTTGACACACAATATCAGTGGGTGGTTGGCAGGTGCTCTGGTGTGGTCTGCTCCTTTTTTTCTATCAAACATCTATCGTCCTCATCATTCCTTCTTTTTTGTGTTTGTTACTCTCTTGTAACACCTTTAATCTTTGGCACTTATATGACCTTATTGTGTTGCAAGTGCCGTAAAACTCTTACAAAAACTAAACTCAATATCACACGAATAGGGGCAATCAGCCGACCATTTCCGCAGCGCCTTTCTTTGAGCTTGGGTCATTGCGTCTTGCTCAAGGACACACCCCAATGACAAACCATCAAAACGCTGTGTCATCGACACACACACTTGACATTGTCGTAAACTTGAGCTGACACGCCGCTCGACCACTGGAGCTCCTTTACAACTCTTATTGCACCAGTGTGCTTTTCTTTTCCTCAAAGTGGGTGGTTGGCGGGTGCTCTGGTGTGGTTTGCTTCTTCTTTTCTATCAAACATCTATCGTCCTTATCTCCCCTCCTTCTTTTTTATGTTTGTTACTCTCTTGTAACACCTCTAATCTTCTGGCGCTCATATGACCGTATGCAGTTGCGAGCTCCGTAACACTTCTACTAAACTAACTTTTCCTCAAACTCAAACCAGCAATCAAGATAGCATTGTATTGATCTTTACAAAGATAAATTTTCTGCAGCGTGGTAAGTAATATACATGCACAGGCACATGTCAACACACACATACATACAGGCACCCACCATGCACACACACATGAACACACGCACACACACACACACACACACACACACACACGGGCACATATACACACGCATACGCATGCACACACACACA